GACAGAGCCAGTGATGATCAACATTGGCAGCAGCTGGCAACAGGGTCAATTTGGTGAACACTATATGTCTACCTGTTTATTGGCCATGCTTGGGACATCATAGAAGGACATTAGGGAACGTGTATGTGTTCAGAGTGCTAAGTCTCTAGGTGGTAGAGGGTGAGGGGAACATAAATGAGTATCTATGACCAACACAAGACAGAAGTATGTAAAGATGGCACTGTTCATCGTTTATATTTAATGCCTCAAAGTAAGGTAAGCATAAAAGAAGAACAGGAAAGGAATGCAAGCCCTCAAAAGAACAGCAGGAAAGAAGTGCCAGGAAATTAGAAAGGTCTATGGAAAGGAAGAAAATCAGCATCTCACAGTCAAAAACAAAACAAAACAGAAAAAAAAAATCTGTGAGTGGCATCAAATGCAGCAAAGGACTAAAGGAGAAGCAGCAGGAAGTGGTCTGACCAGAAGGAAGCCAACAGTGGTTTCTGAGGTTAAGTGGTTTCTGGGTAGGTAGGTGGTTTCTATTATATAAACGTTGGCCTGTATAGACCTAGGATATTTAGATCAGCATCTTGTTTTGCCCAGAACATTAAAGACTCATTATAATTAGACTCATTCATTCACTCGTTTATTCCAGTAGCATTTATGGTGCTCTCATAAGCGCCTAACTCCACTCAGCTGCATGGGGTAGGGCACCTAACTAGAAAAGCCATAATTAAATCACAATGCTCCTTTCTTAGGAGCAAATCTGGGCAAAGTTTTAAACCAGAGGCTTCTTTAAAATGAAAGGCTCATTTCCCTGTAGCTATTTTCAATTTATACATTCTTTTCTAATAGAGTAGCCTTTTGTTTTCCATTTTTGTTTTGGTTTTAAATTAGGAAGGTTAGGTTTGCTGATCTAAAATCAGGGGCACCAAATTGTTTTAAAAAAAGAAAGTAAAATAAGAATACTGTGAGGAAAGGGAGGAATGGTATTTTTATCTTGTGTGAGATTTTACCCGACACAGAAACCCACACAATATAGCCCAAAGGAACCAAACTTTCTCTGCTTCACACACACAAATGCTTATACTGTCTTGCATTTCATAACTTAACACATTTGTTTGGCCACATCACTGGCAAAGTACTAAGTTGGATGCCAACAGGAGGTTAAAAAGAGCAAGTCTCAAAAAATCTTGTGTGAGCTCTGAAGGAAAACAGAAATGGTATTTATACCTTATATTAGCTATGTATGTCCACAACTTTGATGCTTAAAGCATAAACCAACCACCCACATGGAACAGGCCATGGAAAACTACCAAGAATCCCGTATTTTCAGAAAATATGCCTACAGAGCTCGGCATCTGTACATGGAGCCCAGAGCCCCCTTGCAGTGCAAAATCTGGAGGCCGACGGTAATACAGCCCACTGGATGCTTTCGACACGTCAAAGATGAAGCATCATTTTAAATTTAAACCTGGGTATGATGCAGAGAAAAAACAGAAAGTTTGCCAGTTTTATAAAAACAAAGCAAAGCTTCAAAGGATTTTTGTTTATGAAGACTCAAATGCAGACCTGTGTCACAGAAAAGAAAAAAACAAGCCATTCACTGAGCAATTACAGTTGTCAGCCCAGGAAGGGGCAGATATATTTGACCCAGTGGAAAATGCATAAAGCTTGGCTTATACCACTTGAGCCCCTCACCCTTGCCAGCCAGCTATTCTCATCTGCAAAGGGATGAAAAACATTTCACAGCTCAGGTAGACTCTGAGCAAGCCAGGGCACTAGTTAGCACCAGAATTAAGATTCCCATATAATCATCTATCATTTATCTAGTATGCACAACCATATGGCTGTTTTCTAAGTGGCCTTTTGTATTTTGCTACCCAGAATAAGCCTGAGTTGAAACTCACTATGCCATTCAGACGTGTAGTGACAGGTTATTTCGTCTGTTTTCTTTTTTTCTATTATTATTACTATTATTATTTAATCTTTTTTTACATTCCAGTCATTATCCCCTTCCCAGTCGTTTATTTTCTACTTCCCATACTTTAATTTCCTACAGTTGATTTGTTTGTTTGTTTGTTTGTTTGTTTAGATATTTCGAGACAGAGTTTCTCTGTATTCCCCTGGCTGTCCTGGAACTCACTCTGTAGACCAGGCTGGCCTTGAACTCAGAGATCCACCTACCTCTGCCTCCCAAGTGCTGGGATCAAAGGCTGCGTCACCACTGCCCGGCCCTACAGTTGTTTTCAGTGAGGAAAAGAAAAACCTTTTTACACTGGTTTTAAACTGAAGAAAACCTTGAAAGGCTTTTGAAGGTCAACAATGTCTTTGATGTACAGTTAAGAGGGAGGAACCTGGAAGACCTCTGACCCCCCACCTTCACCCTATCTCACCCCCCAAAAAGCCCAAAAGTTAAGAATGACAGCCTGAAGAGGCCATCAAAGGAGAACTACGGAGAGAGAAATAGAGGGGGCAGGGAGATGCTGAGGTGTGGCTCACAGTTGGCGGCTCTGGCTGGGGTGCAGGTGGAGAAAGTCCCAGCTTTACTTGGAGGACTGGTCACTGGGAGTTGGACCATGCTCCAGTGAGTATATGGACAACACAAATAGATCCTTTTTCTTTTTTGTTGGGGGAGAGGTCACAGGAAGGGGAGTCAGACATAGGAGGACCAGGAAGAGAGTACCACCAGACTGCATGATATGAGATTTCCAAATAATCAAAAAATACAATGTTAATTATTTTATAATATAGTAATATAAATGACTTTGAAAGTTGCTGTGATGGGGCCTGGAGAGATGGCTCCGCAGTTGAGAGCACTGACTGCTCTTCTTTAGAGGACCCAGGTTTAATTCTCATCACCCACACAGCAGCTCAACTGTCTTTAACTCCAGTTCTAGGGGATTTGACACCCTTATACGTCTGTATGAGGCAACACATCAATGCACATTTTAAAAGTAATAAATTATTACATTGAAAAGAAGCATTCACAGCCGAAAAGGAGTGCGTGGTGCTGGGAGTGGGTGCAGCCTACATGGCCTAAGACAGGGCTCTCACCCTCCTTTCACCCACATCAGAGTCCCTTGACGTTGCCCATCGTCGACAGCCTAAAGCCTTCGACCATCGATGTGACTTGTCTCACATCAGTGTTTTGGGGTTGTGAACTTGTCTAAGACCCCCCATAATTAGACATCCAAATTCAAAACTCACATAGTTGGGATTGAACATAAGACGCCTTCTCTAACTAAACAGAGAAGGGGGAGATGCCAGAAGTCAGGACCCTCGCCCTTACCCTTACCCCCTACCTTTCCCCACCTGCACAATGTCATCTGAAGCTTGGCAGCTGCAAGATCCTGCTTAGCAACTGCAGATAGACTCAAAGCAGAGTACCATGTCTTCTTAAGAATAGCAGGGAGACCATAACTCAAGCAGTGTACCATATCTTCTGAAGAACAGCAGGTAGATCATAATTCAAGACAGTGCACCATATAGACCATGACATGTTTCAAGGCACAGGCCAAGAAGATTTTGTACTTTTCCACCACCTGGACCCTCTTACCCCCTCCCCTTGTAAAACATGCTATAAAAAAGCATTTCATGCTCAAAAAAAAAAAGAAA